GTGTGTGCGTCTGCATACGTCTGTGTGTGTGTGTGCGTCTGCATACGTCTGTGTGTGCCATGTCTTCCTTGCTGTGAACAGTAACACGTGCTCGCAGACGGATCGTCCCGACAGGGGAACAGACTGTGCAGCTCTCCTCCTCGGCGTTCCTTCTCCTGCAGCTTTGTCTAAATGCGCAGACGCCATGAGATGTGTTCATCTATCTGAGACGTCCTGCGCGTGAGCTCCGGTTTGTGCGCTGCTGAGAGACGCAGACGGGTTCTGCAGGAACGTCTCACTCTCCCCGTCGTCGGCACGTCTCTTGTGCTCGACTGAGAGTGAAATCTCCAGATTGTAGAGCTGGATGAAGCAGATCGCTGTGAGGAGAATGTGACCCATCACGCTGATCCCGCACAGCGCACACACTCACATAGGTATTTGTTTAGAGATTCCAGTGGGTAAAGTCAAACAGGCCTCCCTGCTCCTCATTTGCTTGCTGACTGTTGTTCTCTTACTTGGATTCTTTGATGTTTATCTTAAAGCTGAGGTTTTACATACTGTAATAGTATTTAAATAAGTCATTCAAATGGAAACAGACGTGGTGGAGACGTTTACCGATCACGCTGTGGACGGGAGGCGGGGCTGTTTAAGCTCTGCTGCCACGAGGACAGATACAAGAAATCTATAATAAATCTATAACTCTGCAATAAAACACTTTATTGATTTCTCGTTGTATTATTCCAACTCTGTGCTTTGACACCGTTTCCCCTGTGAGCTGATATCCTTAAATTCTATTTTGCTTTGTTTTGTTTTATCAATATTATTATTTATAACGATTGCTTTAGCTTATTATAAATGTACTTTTATATGGACAATTCAGTCTGTATGAGCCACTTACTACGTTTTGTATCTTTAGAGGTGAATGTTCACTAGGGCTGCCACAAACGATTATTTTGATAGTCGACTAGTCACCGATTATTTTTGCGATTAGTCACTAATCAGATCATCATCCATTGGACGTAAAACTACAGCTTCTTGCACCAGCAGCATCTGCTCTTATATAACTATCATTAGCTTACAGCTTTAAGTGTTTAAGGTCTGTGCTAACTAAAAATAAAGACAAGACGATAGTTTATTCAATTTTAATGAAATTTGCAGATTGTTTCAGTGAAGTTTAATAAACTCCTTGCTATCTAAAATATAACAGGACACCGCAGTATATTCTGGAGCATCTCACACTTCTGATAATCAGCTGTCTGCTTGATGTTTATTCAGCTGTGTAAAAACTATAACTTTAATCTCAGCCAAACCGATTTACTCAGGAACAAATAAAATACTAAAAAAAAGCCAAACAATAACATTGTTAAGTTATCTAAGTGACTCATATATGTTTAACCTGAGCAGCAAGACGGCGGTGGGTTTGAAAACGATTTGCCGGGAGTCCGGTGTTCTCACGGCGCTAGTTAGCCTAGCCCCCGGCTCGCTAACGAGCTAGTGGGTAACAAATGTCTCCGAAAACGTCGGAGCGCTTTTGAAAATATGTGGTGTCTTGATAAACTGAGCAGATATTTGAGGTTTACACAGCTACATTCTCGCCTGAAAATATGTTAAACGTTTAGTTTGTGACCCAGAAAGAATAATAAGAGTAAAGTTAAAACTAACTAGCTGCCGCCATTGTTGGAAACTGAGCTGGGTCGCGCTATGAATTCTGGGACACAGCTTCTTCTTCTTCGGGGTTTAACGGCAGCTGGCATCCTTGTGTAGCTGGCATCCTTGGCATCCTTGTGGCATCCCAGTGCTGCCATCTTCTGTTTCAGTCCGTTATTACACTCTTAAATCCTACTACTTCCTGCGTCCTCTGTGATCTTACAAAGCTTCAAACGACGCGTCGACTATTAAATCAGTCGTCGACGATTTTGATAGTCGACGTAATCGTGACTAGTCGACTAATCGTGGCAGCCCTAATGTTCAGTGTCTTTGTCTTTCTGTCTGTCTCACTTTAAAGTGAAAATATGATCCTGATAGCAAAACTCGATTGAAGTATGATAGATTTAGCTGTTTTTAGGTGAGTTTAATTGAAACACTGTCACTGTTCTGATCAGGCCAGCAGCTCATTTTCTCTGAGCTTTTGGTTTTATTTCATTCTAAGCCTGCTTCTCCTGAAGTTAGAAGGATGACTTGCCGTCTTGTTGAGTTTGACTGGATTCGTGTGTATATAGAATATTGAAAAGATGAGGTGAGGATTAGATTTGAAAACGAGTGATGAGTAAAAATGGTTGGCTATGAGGACAATCATGTAATTTCTTTTATGACTGTATCTTAGCAGCACTTCTCTTTATCTCACTCGTTCTTCTCTGATCTTGTCACAGCTGTAAAATCACACGTGTGGTGATCAGGGTCCTCCTATAGCACGAAGCGATAACGTTTCAGTTTGCCTTGTTTAAAGACAAACAGTGGTGGGTATCAGAGGAAACAGCTGGAAGGACGTTATCTCTTCAGTGGTGACAGAAGGTATGCATTTTAATGATCCTGATGATAATGACACCAGTATAATGATGAAACCAGTAAGAATGAATGATGACAGTGAGTAAACTGCTGCTTGTGCCCCAGAATGAAATGAAGGGAAAGCACTGAAAGAATCCGAAGTGGCAGACACACACCAGGATGGAGGGATGATCACATGAGCAGGGAAGGGTGATGAGGGTGATGGTGTAAAGGAATGAGCACTACTCCACCAAACAAAATAAAGAAGGAGGCCAGTGTTGAATTTGAAGTGGAGGGTAAAAGTATGCAGCAATAAACAGATGAGTAATATGTGGCGATAAAACAGCAAGGGTAAACAAAGACGGCACGACAATGATGTCCTCAGCGTGTGCTGGCTGGGAGCTATCACTCAGTCGACTGCAGCAGTGCATTGTGGGAGACGGAGTGGGTGGGAGGCTGAATGAGGAGAGATGCACTCGCTGATCTCTCTTCCTCTGTCTCCCTGCTCGTGGAGGAAAGAGTGGGGGAGGGGGAGGAAGCAGATGAGAGAGAGAGGGAGTAAATGATGAGGATGGAGAGAGAGAGAGATGATCACTACACACACAGACACACAAACATGTGCAACAGTCAGTCACTGGACTATCTTCTGATGTCAGCAATGCAGCGTTTGAATACTAAAGAGCGGCTGCAGACTGATCGCACGTGCTCTGTGTCTGCAGAGCTGGTCAGCGAGCTGTGCGACTGTCCTTCTACACTCAGGATCATGTTGCATTTGTCATGTTACTGTATGTCTTATGTTGTGTGGTGCCTGTCCAAATGTCTCTGCACTGCTGCTAAACATGATTTGTGTCGTTACCTGCCTTTTATGGAAACATGCTTTGGCACACGCCGCTCTCTTCTTTCTTCCTGTTGGATTCGTGGTCGTTAACTCTGCCACTGTCCATGTTTTGTTGCTCCCGGCGTGCTGGTGTGTACGGCTGCTGCGGCCCAAACATTAGCACGTGTGTAAATCAACCTAACCTGAAGTCTGTCCCAGCCACGTGATTGGTTCTGTGGGGGGCTATTATGGTTGTCATTGGTCTGTCACGTTGTCTGTCCAAACATGGGTGATTGATCGCGTCATACTTATATCGAGGTTAACTTATTTCATGATTATCTTTATTGTTTATTATCCAGCTGTAAATCCTACTTATTTACATTGTGTGTGAGAGATATTACTCTTTGTCCTTTTAACTCCTCTTCCTCCTCTTCCTGTGTGTAACAGATGCTTAATGTGGGTCTTGATGAGCTAAACCAAACGATACTGATTGCGTTCATTTTATCGTTATTAACAGTTTTTTGTGTGTTTTCCTTCTGCTGTGTCGTGTACAGGTTTATGTGGAGTTTGATGACCAGGAGTGGGACAAGAGGGAGTGGGTGAAGGTCTATGAGGATTTCCAGCTGTTTCTACTAGAGCATCAGCTGGTCTGGGCCAAGAGGAAGGAGTGCGCAGCAGCAGCAGCAGGAGGAGGAGGAGCAGGAGGCCTACTGCAGGGATCCAAGGCCAAACACATACAGTGGCCTGCCCTGGTAAGACCTGTGTTTGCTATTTATAGGCTGGGCACGGTAATGAGACTGGCCAGCCAAGTTGACTCTGCTGCATGCGTGGAGCTCCAAGTATTCTGTTCTCTCTGCACTTTAATCTGCTGCTCTGTGGATCGTCTCTGTGGTTTTGCATAAAGGTGTTGCTGTTTACAAGCTTTTCTATAAACTTGTTTGGCTCTTGCTGTTGTTTGGTTGGCGTGTCATGCTTTTCCGTTTCCTGTCAATCATCAGTGAACTGATGAAGTTTTAAGTTCTTCAGCTGCTCAGCTATGATTGCTCACAGCCAACATGCGTCCTCTGCAGCTGCTGTCCAGGGTTTTCTGCACAGTCCCCGCTGCTGCAACTGGTATGAACCTGGATTATTGTCGTTATCCACGTGGTCTGATTGTGTGGCACAAATGATTCTGTCGCCATAAAAACTCATGTTAGCTTTATCTCATCTGGCTCTCTGCAGCAGGCAGCTACACCTGCTAGCTGCCTGCTGCATGATGATGACTGAACAATAGTGATGACAAACTGTTTCTTATGGATTATTATCTGTTTTCTTCTAATAATCTTTACACCCCGTGATCATAGCTGTGAGTTAGTTGATACAGATCAATAATACAGCACCATATTATGGCACAGTGGATACTTTGTTACTATGTTCACTGTTGTTGTGTTTACTGATTAAAGCCACAAACAAAGGCTGATTCCAGTGATTGTGACAATATGTCAACTCCTCCAAAATCTCTTTTAAATCAACTAATATCTGATTTTAAATTCATTTATGATCAGCAAGTGTGACGATCTGTGTGGAAGCAGCGGGTGTGACAGTTTGGTGTGGAGCATTCAGACGTGTGTTTACACAGCGGGGCAAACTTTCCAGGAGCGGACGTCCCAGCAGATTCAGAGTGCAGTGCTCCGAAACATGGAAAGACATAGACCTGGAACAGTACACTTAAAAAAAGAAGAACATGGCAGCACAGCGTAGGTTTGCAAAGCTGTGTCTGAAAAATCCACAGGAGTCCTGGAACAATGTCTTTTGGCCAGACAAGGTCAAATTGGAGATGCTTGGCCATGATTCCCAGTGCTTTGTTCAGCAGAAACCATCCATCTTCATCCGCTTTATCCGAGGCCGGGTCGCGGGGGCAGCAGCCTAAGCAGAGAGGCCCAGACCTCCCTCTCCCCGGCCACCTCCTCCAGCTTATCCGGGGGAACACCAAGGCGTTCCCAGGCCAGCCGAGAGATATAATCTCTCCAGCGTGTCCTGGGTCTGCCCCGGGGCCTCCTCCCGGTGGGACATGCCTGGAACACCTCAGCCAGGAGGCGCCCAGGGGGCATCCTTGTCAGATGCCCGAACCACCTCAGCTGGCTCCTTTCGATGTGGAGCAGCAGCTGCTCTACTCTGAGCCCCTCCCGGATGGCCGAACTTCTCACCCTATCTCTAAGGGAGAGGCCAGCCACCCTTCGGAGGAAGCTCATTTCTGCCGCTTGTATCCTTGATCTTGTTCTTTCGGTCACTACCCACAGCTCGTGGCCATAGGTGAGGGTAGGGACGTAGATCGACCGGTAAATTGAGAGCTTCGCTTTTACACTCAGCTCCCTCTTCACCACGACGGACCGGTGCAGCGTCCGCATCACTGCAGCTGCAGCCCCAATCTTGGTTTCTGTGGAGAATATGGTGGGGGATGATTTGGGTTGTTTTGCAGCAACAGAGCCTGGGCACCATGCAGTCATTGAGGTACAGATGGGACTAGTGCCTGATGTGCCTGACTAGTTAACTGGAGGACTATTCTTGTCAGTCGTTTGTACCAGACTTACTAGTCCTTTAATCTAATTGGTTTACAGTTAAAATCAGCACCAGGTAAATTGTTGTCCTAAATGTTATGCAGCCATTTGCCATCAGATGGAGCACTGTAGTTGCTGTTCTGATCTTTTTGTCTGTTATTGTTAATTGTTGAAAGGCGAAAGAATGAGATCGCAGATATAAGTGGAGCCACTACTCCACATCGAAAGGAGCCAGCCGAGGCAGTCGCCTACTGGAGCAGGAGGAGGCCCTGAGATGAGAGAACGCTGCGGCGTTCCCCGGAATAAGCTGTAGGAGGTGGCTGGCAAGAGGGAGGGTGTAGGTTTCCTTGCTTAGGGTGCTGCCCTCACAACTCAAATTCAGATAAGCAGAAGGATATGGCGAGCAATTTGTTGTTGTGTTATTTGATGGTTACCTGAAGTCTGCTTGGGGAGGAGTCTAGGTAACCGAGAACCCCGCCTCAGACTGGCAAGTGCTAATCCTCCTGCCAGCTGCTTCACACTCTACAAGGGCTCCAGTAGCACGAGCACAGGCAGCAGGTCATCACTGGATAAAGGCAGCAGGGTTAGGAGAGGACTGAGCCCAACATCCTCAGCCAATGGCAGAGCCACAGAGATGGGCTTGGACTCAGTTTCACCTTAGTCAAACTACATCTGTCTGTAAGTGGCCTTCAAAGTGTGTGTGAGTGATCACGTGAGGCTCGGTCTGCTCTGCGGCTTGCGCCACACACACACTTTGGTGTGGTGGCAGTGTGGTTACCGTGGTGTTTATGCCGCTGTCTCGATGTCGCACCACTGTTTGAGGAGATGATCCTGTGGGTCTGCTCGTGTTTTTGGCTTTGTCACTTATTGGAGGACTTGCTTCGTAAATGTTTGGCGCTGATGTCATTTATTTTCCGACTGTGCTCTTTTCTCTGTGTGCGTACGAATGTGATTCACTGTTTTGGTTATGTAATAGAGTGCACGGTGCCATCTGGCACACACATTGTAGATAAGAGTTCAAAGACACGCACACTTTTTTCTGCCTCTCTTACTGCTCCTCCCGTTTCTCACAGATTTATCACACCGTTGCTATTGCCATAGCAACAACATTGAAATATAGCACAGACTCGTACCTGATTGACCCGCTGCCCTCTGGTTGGCGCCTCAGGTCAGTCAGATCTGCAGACTCTCAAACAGCCACTCGGCCTGTCAGCAAACCTCACCAATCTGAGCCCTGGTCTGAGTAACCCTCACCACTCACACCGAGTCCTTTGCTTCCAAGCGCTTTGTTCTCCAGTGTGTGGCTTTGACTCGCCTTTAAAACCTCACGTGGGTCCTGCCTGAATTTTCAGCCCCAGCAGCTGCTGCTAGACAGAGACAGCATAGATGAGCAGGCCAGTGGACCCAGCAGATCGCTTTGTTGTTGCATAACTATCCGCACGCACACTTGGCTTTTATATCTCAGTGAGGACATGTAATTGACATAATGCCTTCCCTAGCTGCTTACCTGAACACTAACCATAACCTAACTGTGACCCTGCTACTAAAACCACAATTTCAGCCTCAAACATGCCTTCAAAAGCTGTTTGACGGGCATTTGGACCCCATAAGGGACTGTTGGTCCCCACAAGTATAGTAACAGTTGAATTTTTGGTCCTCACAAGGATGTATAAGTGTGCACACAGACACACAGAGGGGCTGTTGCACTCATCAGTATTAATTCACTATTAATTACTGTCATTCATCTCTCTGTCTGGGCTTTTCTCAGTGTGGGTTTTTGGTTTCTTTTGAAGCTCACTCTGAGTTTACAGGACTGGACTGATTGTGTATTTGTGTGGTTCATACATGTGTTTGTGTAAGTCTGTTTGCAGAGCTGCTGTGATATGGGAGGATCTGCTAGTCTCACTGTCTCTGTGGGTGTCCACGTGTCCTCCAACCTATTGTACTGCTAATTAGGGCTGCACGATTAATCGTTAGAAAATCGCGATCTCGATTCATACTTATGTGCGATCAAATGACAACGATTAAAAAAAAAAAAAGACGACGACGACGATTGTAGCGCATTTTGATCCGGGACGTGCTCTGCATGAAAACAAGCGCTCACTCTTCCTGCTCAACAAAAGACAAGGGTGGAGCCTTATACCACGTGATACAGACGCTGCCGTGTGATGCTAACGTTAGCAGGGAAACAACAACGGAGAGCACGTCAGGGATGACGAGAAAGTGACAGGAGAAAATCCGTCCCGGGCAACCACCCAAACATCAATAACGGGAACCTTATACAGCGCTTCCCT